AAAACATTTCTTGGGAACATGGTTGTGATTGTAATATGAATGATATTGTGTCACCAACATGGTATGCACCATTAAGTGCAAAATATCTCAACTATTATTATGAGGCCCTTGCAGTGTGCTCTGCATCATTATTCTTGAGCTCTATTGCATAGAGATTCCAAACAAATTTGTATTTTGTGGATCTTAGTAAGAGCCCACATTAAATTTCCATCCCAAGGCCCTGTGGTGGGTTGATGCTTCAGTGGTGTGATTTGGCAGCTGTAGTCTTCCATGTGAATTAAACAATTCAATTTTGAGAGTGGGAGGAGATGCAGAGGGAAGCTGACTTTTAGCCAGGTAATGAAGGTACATCTATCTGTCCAGCTGGGGTCACTATTGTGACGTGTTAACAGTGTGGAGTGTTTGAGAACTGAATGAAATATTGATCAAACCAGCTATGTATTGTTATTTTTAATCCCTTAGTTTCAGCATTTGCCTATAATATGTCATGTAAATTGTACTTTATAATTATATAATGTATTTTGTGTTTTCCAATTTCAGGTTAAGAATAATGGACGTGACTGATAGTACCTGTATGAATATGATACAGAATAGAAATTCAGTGCAAGGCATTTTGAATAGTGCTTTTGGTGATTATGTCTGATAAGGGATTCCATACTCATAGTTTTTCCAGTGTAAGTGGTGTTTGGTAATTACTGCTGACTGAAATAACTGTAATGTAAACTGTATCATGTAACAAATTTAAAAGGCATGTTTACCATCAGTTTTACTCTCTGGGTTTCTTATTTATGCTGCACTGCATTATAATCCTGTTTTTAACTCGGTTATCAACATCACATCATGCTGCTTTACACAAGGGCTTTTTGTTAAACAAACAAACCACATTGTTCCCACAGCTTCAAGAGCCAGCAAGAAAAACGAGACCGATAAAGCAAATGTTGCCCCTCCGTCTCCTGATACAAATAGGTTACAAGTCACCAGGGCCTCCCTTTCTCTTCAGACAAAGTAGCAGACAAGTCAGACAAAAAAGATTTGTCCTTGCCTCATTAAAAAATACCAAAATGACAATGGACAAACAGGTGATGGACAGAGATGCTGAAAGTGCTGAGCAAACGCATGTCGATGGACTTAAAGAGGTCACAGAAAGACCAAAGTGGGACAATAAAGTTCAATACTTGCTAACCTGCATAGGTTTTGCTGTGGGACTTGGTAACGTGTGGAGATTTCCATATTTGTGTCAAGTCTATGGTGGAGGTAAGAGCATTTTATTTCCAGTGTGCTTCGTACTGTTAACACAAAAAGTTGGTTGGTTACGACAAGAAACATCATCCAAAAGGTTCTCTTCACAAAACCAGAAACTGTATAAAACCTGCTCTTAAATTAAGATATCTAAAAGAACTGAAATATTTCTTTTAAAATAATTCCATCATTAAATTAAATACCAAAACTGTATAATTAATTTGTATAAATTACAACCTTCCTCTCCAGGATAATGTTCCCATAATGCCAACAATCATGCACTGCATAAACATACACAATCCCAGACACCAGTTTCAGTGCAATGTCACTCCACAACCCAGTAGTCACATCCTGTTTTTCATTTTTCTTTTTACCTTTATTTAACCATCAGTACCTCACTCACATATTACCATGTGTGACACGACTTTGACATGGTTGCAGAAATGATGCAGACAGTACTTGACGTTTCTGACTTTGATTATACCACTTTTCAAGATAAACTTGCTAATCATCTTGATTAATACTAGACCCAGTGAGTTCATAGAAATAAATTATAACTGCAACTCACTTGTAATTCCATCAAAGGGAAAAACTGACATTTAAACATCGCTTACACATATAGTTTAAATAAATATGTTTTATGTGACTGTCAATATGTCTTAAAGAGTTAATTATCTTCTTTTTCTTTCTGTTATTTGCTTTTTGATCTACAAAATGACTTCTATAATTTCAGTCTACATGTTTATTTTTCCAGTGAAGGTCAATCTATGTCTGACCAGAGAGATTAAATATTATTATTGTTACCTGAATCTCACCAGTGATTCAGGAACAGATAATACTTGATTAGTGATTATGTGACTGCAGTACATTTGTTTCTTGTAAAATGTCATTGCTTATATTTTGTTCATAGCTGTGTTGAATCTAGTTAAGATAATTCCTACTTGAATTGTTCACTATAATACACTACTTTATTAATCCATTAAAAAACAGGACAAATGTTTTCACTACTCCATACAAAACAAACAGTAGATAAGTCAAATGACAAGAAAACAGTTGCACTATGTCTAGTGTTAAAATACATGGCTTGGTTTGATTCAGTGTGATAAAGCTCTCAGTGCTGATAATAAAATGCCTAGTAATAGAAACTGAATGACCTTGAACAATGAAGGCAATGCCAGTGGGGTTTTTTTAAAGGTGAAGCCATTTGCTTACTGAAAAAAGTCATGTTTATTGTTGTAATTGTCAGTTTTTACAATTACTCTATACTTAAAACGTGTACTGTACTTGTGCTGTATTTCAAGGGGCATTTCTGATTCCATATCTAATTGCTTTGGTGTTTGAGGGACTTCCTCTGCTGCACATGGAACTGGCCATCGGACAGCGGCTCCGCATGGGAAGTGTTGGCGTGTGGAATTCCATCTCCCCATATATGGGAGGTTTAGGTGAGAAGGTTTGGTACCAATGAACATTACCATTTTGGAATTCACACAGATAATTGAGGTCACTACCATCCATAACATACATACATTTCTTGGTGTATAATGTCAATGTGCACACAGGTGTGGCTTCCATGGCAGTATCCTTCCTAGTTGGTCTGTTTTACAACATGATCTTGGCCTGGATCCTCTGGTACTTCTTCCACTCCTTTCAAAGTCCACTTCCCTGGAGGGACTGCCCATTAAACTTGAATCATACTGGTAATTTTAACATGACAGTAATATAAATCAATAATGAATGCTGAATAATAAATTAAATAAACTTCTCATTAATTAATCAAGCTATAATTAATCTATTTGATACAGGCTATGTAAGTGAATGTGAAAAGAGCTCAGCAGTGAACTATTTTTGGTATCGGGAAACACTGAATGTAACACCAAACATCGCGACCAGTGGGTCCTTGCAGTGGTGGCTCGTGCTGTGTCTTGCAACTGCTTGGTGCCTCGTGTACATCTGCTTCATACGTGGAATTGAGACTATTGGAAAGGTAATTTACCTTTTTTTGGTGTACTGTAATGCTACAAATGATTTTATTGTTATATCTATTTGTTATATCTCTAGCTCAGATAAGAGCAGTTAAAGAACATAAAATGTGGGTACCATTAGAGCAGCTGAAAGACAGTAGAATTACAGCTGCCTTATCAGCATTAGTAATGTATGCAGGAAGAGATAAGAGCAACCCACTATAAAGTTAGCCAAAACTGAAGTTCAACAAAGGCAGGACCTACCAATAATGTTATTCAATGTGTTTTCTCACATGTATTTTGCATCCTGCTAGAGGTTGCATTAAAGGCAATAAAAGTGATGAATGAAAGACCATTGATTATTACCCAAACAAGCAACTAAAGAGTTTAGAGTATTAAAAAGCCTCTCTAACATTAAGGTTCTTAACAATATCCTTCCAAAATGACCTGCGCACTGACAAGTCATTTGGTTTAATGAAGTTTAATGGGAGTGCATGCAAAGGGTTACAAACATTTAAAAATATTTTATGTAAATATGAAACATTTCATCAAGATCCAAACATTTTCAACAGGCTATTTATATCACAGCCACCTTTCCGTATCTTGTTTTGACCATCTTCTTGGTCAGAGCCTTGACTCTGTCTGGGGCCACCGATGGCTTAATATACCTCTTCACGCCAAATGTAAGTTTGTCATTCATTTGTTATTGAAATAATTTCAAGACAAGATTTAATGATTATCAATTAACTAACTAACATTTAATATGTTCATCACAGTGGGAAACCCTGAAAAATCCAGAGGTCTGGTTGGATGCTGCCACTCAAATCTTTTTCTCTTTGTCTTTGGCCTTTGGGGGACTTATTGCTTTTTCCAGTTATAATGCTCAGAAGTAAGAACATTTTGAACACATTTCCATTCATGAAAGAGTATACATTTGTACAATATTTTAAAAATATTATTTTACCTTTGCAGGAATAATTGTGAGAGAGATGCCCTGATTGTTGGATGTGTGAACAGTTTTACATCAATATATGCGTCGATTCCTATTTTTGCCATTCTTGGTTTTAAAGCAAATGAAAACTACAATGCCTGCAGAAATTGGTAGGTACCATGGAGGTAATTATGGTTTGCCATAATACAGTATATCTGGCTTGATAATTAGTGGTATTATTATTAGATATGCAACTGATAGTTATGTACTTACAAGCTGTCAGAACTGGAAGCAATGTGACTGCTGTGACTATAATATATACACCACTTTGGTATTTGTCATACAATAAGAACACTGTTTTTACTTATATTACTTTAAATGATTTCTCAGTTAACCAATGATTTATCAATTAACCAGTACAAAAAACAGTTTTCAATTTTCTCAATTAATGCATAGAATTCCAGCCATCATTATTAGCAGTGATGCTTGTAGTGTTAACTGCCTGATTTTGTTTCTTGTTGTTTTTAGGAACATACTAAGATTGACAAATGCATTTAACATTGCGGATGAAAACATAACTCTTGAAAACTACGGTGACTGGTTAAACTATTTCAATACAACTGATCCCTCAGAGGTTGACAACCTCAATCTAAAGACCTGTGATCTACAGACCTTTCTCGACCAGGTAGTACAATCCATTACATTTAAAATAGTTTTGGTTTTAACAGTTCATATTACAACAGCTTTTTGTGGTGGCTGTGTATGAGATCATGTATTACATCCTACCTGTAGAGTGCCTCTGGAACCGGACTGGCCTTCATTGTGTTTACTGAAGCGGTGATAAACATGCCAGGCTCTCAGGTGTGGGCGGTGCTCTTCTTTGTCATGCTCTTCAGCTTGGGTCTGTCCTCCATGTTTGGAAATCTAGAGGGGGTCCTTACCCCTCTGCTGGACCTGCACATGGTTCCATCCTGGATGCCTAAGGAAATTTTCACAGGTAAACTGAAATATCTAATAACTTAATTTACTGTTTCAATCATGACATATGAGGAAATGACAACTAAAGTTTGTATTGTATTGATCTGACTGAATATTCCAAAAGAACTGACAAGGTTAGGTGCACAATATCTGTTACTTTCTATACATAATGACACACTTACATAAAAAGCACACCTGTAAATGTAAATGTAGCCTTTTTTAAAATTATTTTTATGTTGAAATTTCCTATAATTTCCTTTTTTGCGCATAGGGTTAATTTGCCTCAGCTCCTTTACTGTGGCCCTCATCTTTACTTTGGGCTCTGGAAACTACTGGCTGGAGATTTTCAACAGCTACGTGGGATCCATGCCTCTGCTCATCATAGCATTCTTTGAGATCATTAGTGTGGTATACATCTATGGAATAAACAGGTGATATTGTAATTCATGTCATCATTATACTTGGAATATTACAACATATTTAAATGATTTAACAAAGTGCTTCCATTTGGCCACAGGTTCAATGATGACATTGAATGGATGTCAGGTCGGAGACCAAACTTCTACTGGCAGGTGACTTGGCGCTTCATCAGTCCTTTCATGCTTCTGGTGGTTTTTGTTGCATACGTTGTAGTTGAGGCTGAAAAAGAACCAACATATAACGCCTGGAACCCAGATTACGTAAGAAAGATTTTTATTTTTTTATTTTTTAGAATTTCTTAAATCTGGCACACAATGAAAAAAAAACTTTTCACTCCATTACCTCTACAGGTGAACTTCCCCCTTGCTGATGTTCAGCCATATCCAGAATGGGTTTATGTTATCTGTGTGCTCTTATCTGTCCTTCCTGTTGTCTCCATTCCTATTGTGGCTATCTACAAATTCACGGGCTTCCTGAAGAAGTACATCACAAACAGGCACAGCCAAAACCCATATGCAAATGACCTGTAAATGAAAATGTGTTGCTGTTTTATCTGATTGGTGGTCAGGACTACCAATGGTACATGTGAGGGATTTTGTCACTTAATATATTCTTACAGTGTATATCCATTTTTACTGATTATTTTCACATTGTTTTCTATCTTTTGTATGGTATGGTATTGCTCCTAATTATATTACAGCTTAAATAAAATTATCATTAATATAGCATATTGGCAGTACTACAATTGCTATACTAAAACATTAATTTTGTCTTAATTTACACAAGTGTATTTATATCGGTGAAGGAAATGCAAACAGATGAAATCAATGCAGCACAATTTCCCTGAGAAAAATATTAACAATAGGCTAGAACTGAATATGAGGTTTGTGTTAATATTTGATTAAAGGAAGACAACAGTTAATTTCCTGTGTTGGTGTTTTGAATGGGGGCAAAGAAAGTGATGGATAACTTTTCTGAATGGTTTGTGATATGCGCATTATTAATTCTCGAAATAAATATCACAGTGATTACAAATGTGTACAAGCACATTTGCTGAATGTTATGTCTGTACGTTCTGTTAACATCATCATTGTTGCCATCACTTCTTGATATTATGCATCATCTTGTAAATCACATTCCCTTCTTCCTAGGGAACAGGTTTTGTTAGGTGATATAATATTGTTAGCAGCCTTCCACCCTCTGTTACCTGCAAGTGTGAAGAGTGATGTAGTGTTGCATGATGTGTCCTTTATGTAACTTTTCAGCATGTCAACAGTGCATGTGGGTGTGTGTGAGCAGTAGGACTGTGCTTGTGTGCGTTAGGGTGCATGCATGTGCTCACTGACCATGCGCATGTGTGTATTTTGAGTCATACGAGTTACACGGTTGTCCTTTTTGTGGTGTGGGTGGACAGTGATATTGTCCTCCCAGTGTCACGTGCTTTGGAATATGCTGGCTGCCTTTGTTGCCACTCTGCCTGTTCTGCTTTTCTGGCACTTTCATACAATGGTGCACTTGAACACTGTGATGTTATTAAGCCTTTCAAACTACTACAGCTTGAATTCCAGCTCTCAGGAAAGACTAGCATCCCAATGTAGGATACATGGCACAAAATACATCATCGAGGAACAACAGCAAGGATTGAGTGTAACATCAACAAAGGTGATTGACCCTGCATTGACTTATGAGCACTTTATACACTTTATACACTTACATTATTGTCGCTTTATGATTGCATTTATAGAGGTATGCTAGGTGTTACGCTAATGCTTTTTTCAGTATTGTCATATCTAAATATCTGACTGAATCTTGTTTGACTTTTTTTTTGTGCTTCACAATCTGCCATTATTTAAGCCTCTTGTATTTCTGAAAAACAAAAAAACAACAAAAACAAATTTGATGTGTCTGATGTGAAGGAAATTAAATGTGGAGTACTATAACAATACAGTGTTCCAAACACACTGAAGAGGTTACAGCTGTTAAGTGGCTAAGTTCAAAGGGACAAGGTGTTCCAAGATTTGTTGCATGAAGTTGTTGGCTAGGAAAAATACATTTAATTAGTTAATACAATATTGCTACATGGTTGGTGCTGTCTATAGAATTATTGACTTGTATGTTAATAAGTAAATAACTAGTAATCCTATAAGCAGTTTAAACATTCTTATAGTCAACAACAAAGTAACCTTATTGTCTTTCGAAACACCTAAGTGATGCTGTGAAGCTCAACACTTTTTTTGACCTATGACCCTACACTAGGCAATGTCCCAGCGAGCAGATGCCTCCCAGTGTGGCGGGGTTGTGGTCGAGTTTGAGTCTGACGACATCAGGGATGCGAGAGCTAAAAAAGCTAGGAGTATACCAGGTGAACTCAACTTTAAATCCAACTAGAATTTGTGCAACGTGTTTGTAGCCTATATAATGTGTGCTTATTCGATTTTCATGCATTTCCTCGTAAGGTTCAGCTCTTATCTACCTCAAGGGTCCCAAGTTTCTCATCTATGTCAGTGGAGCATTGTCAATGTGGGTAAGAATAATTTCCTGAAGAAAAACAGATTCCTGGAGAAATAGATAAGACATCGAAACTAAAATAACTGCAAGGTAGTCTACTTACTGTAAACCGTGTGACAGAATATAGACAGCACCTTGCAAAACAACGCATAATGATGACCTTTTGTGTTGTGTTAAACAGGGTGACCGCATGTGGCACTTTGCAATCTCTGTGTTCCTGATTGAGCTGTATGGCCGTAACCTGCTGTTGACTGCAGTGTTTGGATTGGTAGTGGCTGGGTCAGTGCTCCTACTTGGGGCTTTGATTGGAGACTGGGTTGATCGCAATCCCAGGAATAAAGGTACGCACAACAATTTCACATCCATTTGACATTTTAGCATGCAGTACATCATAGAACAGTGATATAGATCAGTGGATCTCAATCTTGGGCCCAGACATCTGCTGGTTTCCTATCACACCAGGTGGTAAATTGCATTCCCCCGATGTCTCAAGTGTAAATCAGCTCCTGATTTGATTGCTAGCAGGACTCAAAGCACAAGGTTCACAGCTACTGACTCATATATGCAAAGGCAAGCATTGTTTTTACAGAACATATTATCTATGTTCTGAGAGTCTAAATCTACTTTTTTTGTCCCTTTTTAGTTGCACATGCATCTCTTTTCATTCAGAACATCTCAGTGACAATATGTAGCATTGTGCTCATGTTGGTGTTCTTATATAAGCAAAGGATTGAACAGATCTGGGATGGATGGCTTACCGTAAGTAGACACTAAATATTAAACTAACAAATTTCAAAACTTGATACTATGTTGATCTGCAAACAGAACACTCACCATGATTATGGCACAGAGGAGTTATTGCTGCCGTTGTTCCCTCTGTCATGTGTCCCTGTTGTCTCTGCTTCTGAGCTTGTGGCTACTCTGTACTGTCATAGTAACATGTTGCATCGCAAAACTCACACAAGGTGGTTTGTTATACGGTGGTGATCGTCCTGGCAGATGTGGCAAACCTTGCAAGCACAGCACTGACCATTGCCATTCAGAGGGACTGGATTGTGGTTATCACTGGCTACAACCGAGGTCACCTAGCTGGTGAGGGGATTCATTATCTGTTAAGGCACATGTTGGCTTGTATTCCATGTTTGTCACGGTATGGGTTAGCATCACTGCTGGTGCATGATAAATACTTGAACTGCAAGTATTGATACGTTTCTGCTCTTGCTGAAAAGTCCTCTAGTGGAAGAGCATTAACCTCTGTGTCTTTGATCCTAACAAAAGGAATGAATGCAACCATGAGGCGGATAGATCAGGTGACTAACATCCTGGCCCCACTAGCAGTGGGACAGGTCATGACCCTGGCCTCCAATGTAGTCGGCTGTGGCTTCATCCTGGGCTGGAACCTTATATCTCTCATTGTGGAGTTCTTCTTCTTGTCACGGGTGTACCGCATTGTCCCTGCTCTTTCAATCAAACCACCAGTGGAGGAGGAGGATCAGGTGTGTCTGCAGAGGATGGAGAGGAGAGGGTCACAAGGTATGGACTGATCTTTTTTTTCTTTTCTTGAAGGTTTTTGACCTCCACTGTATTCCTAGATTTTAACATTAGAATGCTTTGAGATTTACATGCAACATCTATAATTAACTGCAGGTGATTACGCAATGCTGGCCAGAATTGGTATTAGTAACAGTATACATTAGAAATTACTTTCTCTTCAGTCTCTTCAGCCAGAGAGTTCAGTCAACTCAAATTTGAACTTTGAAATTCAATTTAAATGTTGACAACAATGCTTCGATAGCAGGTTTGAGTAGTAGACATCATTAAGGGTATTGATGTAGCGAGATTTGTGCCGAAGGATTTTCATGTGGCCTAAGGGAATGAGGGAAAAAAAAAGAAAAAGAAAATCACACTAGATGACATCAGGAAATGTTGTATACTATTAATTTTTCTTTTAAATTAAGTCCTCCAGTTGTATATATCAAAGGCTGTAATTAGCCTGGAGCCATCTTGTACAGTGGGCTTAATGCCATAAATAGTATGAGTTCATAAATTTCATTCTATACAATAGTAGACAATCAAATAATAAAGGACTAAAAGCATCAGATAATAAAAATGATCATTGAGGCATACATTATTTTAAGACACAATCCTCAGTTTGTGTACAGCACCCAACTGACAACGTCTGCATTCTACATGCTGCCCATGTAGAATAGTGTAGATGGTCTGTATCTGACAGCTGATGTGGACTGACATGGAGCAGAAACAGTGCAGAACACCAACTGAGGATTGGGTCTTAAAAATTGACGAACAGAAGTGATGGATGACATTCTTTTTTCTCATCAGAGGAAGGTAATGTTGCACAACCTCAACCTCTGACAGATGGTAACTGCAACACAAGCCTTCACCTAAAAGAAATCACCAACCTGCCGCTGTGTTTCCGGAGGTTTCGCTGGCTGGTGAGCACCTGTAAGGACGGCTGGAGGGCCTACTATCGCCAGCCTGTCTTCCTGGCAGGAATGGGTCTGGCTTTTCTCTACACCACAGTCCTGGGCTTTGATTGCATCACCACTGGCTATGCCTATACTCAGGGCATAAGCGGCTCTCTCCTCAGTCTGCTGATGGGTGTATCAGCTATCACAGGGCTGATGGGCACCGTTATGTTCACCAGACTCAGGAAGACCTATGGCCTGGTTAACACAGGCATCATCTCAAGCTGCCTCCACCTGGGCTGTTTGCTGCTGTGTGTGTGCTCTGTGTTTGCCCCTGGCAGCCCTATGGATCTTAGCTTGCTGATGCCTTACATTACCCCCAACTCTACTGAGCTTGGAAGGATGGTAAGCCAAAGGCAGAAACACACTTATCCTCTGAGGGGAGGCAGCAATCAGCCACTGCTACCCGACCGCTCCTCCATTCATTGGACCAACAACACTGTGCTTTTTGACAATGTGCCTGCTGGCACAGCGCCAGAATCTTACATCTCCATCATCCTGCTGTTCTTGGGTGTCATCACAGCACGCATTGGTGAGTAGACAGACAATGTTGGGCAATGAATAATAACAAATTGCAGTACAAAGATTATGTTAATTTAGAAAAAGTGTTGCCACTACATAGTTTATCCACCAGAGAGCACGGTCAAAAAAATGTAAAATGTCACACTCAGTAGTGACAATTACAGTATTTCTCTATTTTAATTTTGGCATTTTAACCTTCTCTGTCTACAGTAGAGTTACAATGTCTATATATGGAATACCCCATAACCACTCCCACGTTCCCCACAATTACAGTATTATATAATTACACATTAGGGGTTCTTGGAAAAATGCCAATGTCGGTTTCAGCCTCAAAAAGCTGTTATGACTCCTGGCTAATTTAATGGCCAGGTCAACTTTTAAACCCCCTCAATGGCATCTGTGTTTTAGGTCTCTGGTCCTTCGACTTGACAGTGACCCAGCTCCTGCAGGAGAACATCTGTGAATCAGAGAGGGGTGTGGTGAACGGGGTGCAGAGCTCTATGAATTACCTGATGGATCTGCTTCACTTCATCATGGTGATCTCCGCTCCACAGCCACAGCACTTTGGCATCCTAGTTATCATTTCTGTATTATTCATCACCACTGGGCACACTATGTACTTCCTGTATGCACACAAAGCCAAGAGAAAACGCCGCCTCGACACATAAGGAGCAGACATGGCCCACACATCCAGGCATGAGATGCTTACCAGCACTGAGTCCACTCTGCACCTGTGAAATGAATGTCTCCCTCCTGTTCCTTCAGCAATCTTATTGCAACACTCCACTCCCGACTTAGCCATTCATTTCAGCACAACACAGCAAGTGCCTGTCCCACCTAGGTTGCTTTCTTCCTGCAAGGCCGTGTGCCATAGCAGCAAACAAGAACTCAGGTGAAATAGAGTGGGAGACACGCTCTCCCTTCGTGTACATAAGTTGAGGTGGCTACAATAACTGCAGCAATGGTACCTCCAGGGGAAATGTCCTAATCTAACAACAGGACACAAAGGTAACGGCTAAGGCACCAACACATGCCTATGCAAACCCTGTATGATTACTGCAAGACTTTCATCAAACAAGCCTGTTAACTTACATAGCTTTTTGGATGGGAGGGTGGATGGATGGAGAGATTTTTCTAACCTTCACTCAGTAAAGAACTGGTGTTGTGAGAAAAACTTAACAGTGATACATGAAAATACAAACAAGACGAGACAGTACTTCTACAAGTGGCATCGATGTTACTGATCCGTCCACTTGGAAATATTCCAGGATGTCCAAAAAGGAACATAAAGGGAACTTGATGTGAGACTGTTTGATAAAAAAATAAAATAAAATCAGAAAGGCAGCCCCCCCCTTTTAATGGACAGAAGTGAAAGGATAAAGTATTTCCTTCCCCTGGTTTGTTTCTCTGTGGATGAATCAAGCAAACATTAGCCTTTCTTTTATGCATGTAAACTTGGCTTATGGATTACAACAACAAAAACACACACATCACATTACGCCATGTACTTTTGTCAAACTTTAGTAAACTATTTTATTCTAATTGCTTGTGTACTTAGATAAATACAAATAGTTTCCAAACTTTCTTTCCTTCCAATATAAAGAGTGATATTAATAGTTTTATAGAAATCCAAGAGGAAAGCAATCTATATTTTGTGACATGTTTGAAATCAGTGATAGCTTTATGTGCATAGCAAATGTCGATCACTGCTACTGGCAGTGTTGTATTACACTTTGCTTAATTATTTTGTAGTTCTGATGAACTAAACATTACCTTACCTCATCTAAGAACAAGAACACTGTTGGGAATATGACTTGGGAATTACTCTCAGCTACTGTATGTTTTCATATCTCCTTCATGTACAATGGAAATAACATCAAAGTTAAATCTTTTGTCATACAACCAGCAACACTCAATATATTTGTATTGTACTTTTCCTGTGAATTTTGTATTGCATGTTGTCCTTATTTTTCAGACTGATAATTATGGTAATAAAGATGACTGAAGATGATCTTGCCTCAAGTTGTGTAGTAAAATGCTACACGTGGGACACTGGATTAGTTTTTACTAAGTCATCTAAATACACTGCAAAATCTCAGTCATGACATTGTAAATCCATTTGGTCCTATTCACAGCCTGACACTTAAATAAAGTCGCCAATTCAACCTTCACGAGTTGATGTGAGGACTGGAACAATTCCAATAAAACAGACAGCCACATGGTTTAACATTGTCTGTCCCCTGTGGAGTGTGCATCTACATGTACCTAATCCTTAACTCCCATGGGGTTATTAGAGATTTGTCTGAACTTCTTTTAATAACCCCTGAATTTGCAGTCGAACCACTAGAGAGTTATAGTACCACTGGTGGAGTTAATTGATTATCCATCGGAATCAAGCTGTAGCACCTACAAAGCCACCGCGGTTGTTGGCAGAAATACCCAAAGCGTAAAGGGGAGACTGAGGACAAACATATCATAAGTGGGGAACATACAGTAGCCATATGCAAATGTAATGTCCTTCTGTGACCAGTAGAGGTCAATGTCACTTTAAATGGTTATTCACATGCCAGTGTAGAAAAGCTTTTGCTCTTTGCGCATTATTACCTTAGAAATGGGACACAATACACCCACAGTATCTTAACACAATATCTTAATCCTCAGACTTTCTATACATTTTCTGCACCATTCAGGAGTGATTATGATACTGATGGCTATCATCAAGAGGGAGACATATGAGGGAGACAGAATAATGGAAATACAAGAGGGAATGCATCCAGTATTAAAGGACGTAGAAATTCAGCCTGCACTCCAGATATTCTCATCTTCTATGTCTCATATCATCATGTGTAAGCTAATTTTAATTGTAGTATTGAATATCAATAAATAACATAGGATGCCGAGTGATTGATACCTGCATCACTAACACCACACCAGTCAAATAGAGTTCCAATATACTAGTTTACCACAAGAACTGAATTAGTATCAGCAGCTGAGTTTGTATGGCTACTGGAAGCCCCTCATATTGTTATGTTGTTTTAAATCCATGATAATGATTAGCGCTGCAACTAACAATTCTTTTCATTATTGATTAATCTGTTGACCATTTTCTCAATTAATTGATTAGTTTGGTCCATAAATTGTGAAACTAATGTGAAAGATTATCACTGTTTCCTCAAATGTCATGTTTTGTTCAAAACCCAAAGATCATAGAGGACTATAAATACTGTCAGTGGGACCAACCTGACTGTGCCAGGTAGTTGGTGATCTTGCAAGTCCAGCTGGTGCACAAGGTTAATAGAGGACTAAAGAAACCAAAAATTGTTCACATTTGAGAAGTTAAAATCAAAGACATGTTTTTCTTAGAAAATTACTCAAAATGATTTATCTATTGTTAAAATAGTTGGCGATTAATTTAATAGCTGACTAATCGATTAATTGACAAATTTTTGCAACCATAACGCCTGTCTGCTAAAATCCCTATTCTATTGCAGCCCTAACGTTTTTTTTTTGTATATATTTTTTGGGAGTTTTTTCCCTTTATTTGATAGGATAGCTGAAGATAGACAGAAATGGGGGTAGAGAGAGAGAGGTGACGACACGTAGCAAAGGACCACAGGTCGAACTCAAACCCATGGCTGCTGCACAAGGACCCAGCCTCTGGACATTGGACGCCTGATCCACCAGGTGAGCTATTCAGGCACCCCATTGCAGCCCTAACTTGATACACTAAATTAAAGTTAAAGCTAAGTAAGGCTTCCAGCACAATGACTGGCAGTGTGCAGTTACCTTGGTAATGAACAGAAGCCATTAGCAGGATGGTAAATGCAACTAGCCAGGAAGAGCTGTTGTGGGAGTGGGAGGCTGTTTTACTGGAAGCAGTACATTCAGTACCACTGTAGAGCTGATAAATATCAAGCTTGAAAATAAATATGTACAAGTTAACAGTCTATTCTTTTTTTGCCCTGTGCTACTTTACAGGAGTCTAGGTTTTGTGTAGTGCAGCTCACAAAACCTCCATTAAGCTGAAAAGTAATAAAAAGCATGCTAAATGTTACATTAAATCTGATGTTATGTTTATGAATAATGGAAGTCACGAAAATAATTTTAACCAAAGCCAAAGTGAAAATGAACAGAATTACACTGAACAAATGTACCTGGCATTGCAGGAAGAAACTAAACTATATGGTCATATAAATGTAGATATTCTAAAAGGGCCACTTATACCATCTCTGGTGTCACGGTCAGTGTTGATCCAACAAATACATCAGAAAATAAAGCTGTCGTTAAAAATGTTTGCTCAAGGGCACTAAAACCCTTAATTCACCTCAAAGTATAACACAATACAATTTAACACCAAAAACTACTTTTTCTACTACTTTTTCCTTAAGGGACACCTTTTCTATTATTTATTAAACTGACAACCCCTGACTAAGTGACATATTTTATAGATAGTTCATATTATATTCAAAACTGTATAATGAACCCAAATAATGAACTCTTAAATTAAATGATTAATTTTGAGCAGATTATTTCCTGTTTAGAGAACTTTTTTTATACAATTCTCTGTCTGTATTATGTATTTTTATTACTTTTTTTTTTTAAATACGGACTTAATAGGCTTTTTTTTTTTTTTTTACAAATTCAGTATTTACATGTCCCTGATAAATTAAAATTTCTTCACAGACATGAATTAAAACATTTTCTTACACCACTTTAAATCAAGAAGGCCTTGCGACCCCTCCCCCCTTGATTTTAGTGACCCCTAGTAGGGGTCCCAACCCCCAGGTTTGGAACGACTGGTTTAGGAGATATTATTGCTGTAGTCCTTTGTTGTTCCCTTGAACTCAGCCATGGGCCTTACAAATTAGCCTCATGTCAGAAAGACTACTATCACAATCATTTCTCTTATGTGTAATTTTGAAACTAAAGCAAGGAATAAATACAGGAAATATAGATTTCATTCATCATTTATACACTATGTGGTGATGTCATTGTTCCTGTTGTTTAGTATCTTCTTTAATTTTTACGAGACTGCGCAGCTGTTGAATTTTTGTACTTATTATTTTGGAAATGGGGGAGGGGGGTACTGTAACAAGCTCAGTAGAGTTTCATCACTTTTTCACACTGCTGCAGGCCAACAGTAACAGTGTATCTCCCATCGTTGTCATGGTAGTCCCTGGTTAAAGACAGCACTATTAAAGCGAGCTCACTAACAAGTCTGACTTTAGGCATTTTTCACTTACTTCATTTACTTGAGAAACTGGGTCAGTGGTAGCACATTAAAGCTAGAGTTGTCCTCCTGGCTTTGTCTCACTAAGGTGCAGGAAGGAAGACGGGCAGGAAGGTTGTTTTTAGATATTTAAGGCTATTAATTTCCTTAGTTTCTATCCTATAGTGGAACAGTATAGAATAACAGACAGTAGTACGTACACTTGTTAGGTTTACTATCTAAAAATGTTAAAATCAAGGATGTGGTATATGAGTTTCTCTTCTCTATCGATTAAAATCATTTTTTTTAACCATTAAGCTGAGGATAAGAGAATACTTCCTTTTTTTTATTAAAGATAAGGAATGCTCATCAGCACATTCTCAATTTAAAGAACCAAAATATGATGAATGTGCCAATAAAGAGTCGGGGGGATTCAATTATTCAACTGAAGTTATGCAGAAACAGGTTAATATCCACTTTTAAAGACATATACTGTATATTAGGGCAATGTCCATCTTCCTAATCAGTTACTTCGAAAAGAACAAAAGAGCCTTGAGGAATGATCAGTCTCAACCTTACATGAAAGAGAAACACCACCTAGAGATGGGAACCTTTTTTCATTCTGCCGTTTGCTGTATCAGCAGTTTGAAACAGCAGCACAATTGAATGGCTTTGCAAGGACCCAGTCAAGCATCACAGTGCTGACAGAGGTGGAAAAAAGATATAACGCTAAGAGATTAAGTGTTCATACGAAGAATTAATGTCCTTGGTTTACCTTGGTCAATACATGTAGGATCACACTGGTCCCTCTGTAATTATGTTAAGCAACTGACAAGCTTCATTTAATTAGCGACTGTTTGACAATTCAAGGATCTTTTATAAAAGCAGACACTAAACAGCAGTATGGAGACAGCTCGACAAAATATAGCTTACTTGTAAAAAAACAAAGCTAGTATTAGGGATACAACTAAGATTATTTTTAATAGTTATTATAATAATATAGTTAATATAATTAACTGATGTAGAACTGAAACAATTTGTCATTTCATTAGTTTGTTGATCATCTGAAAAGAAATCAGCAACTGATTAATCGTTTTTCAAGCAAAGACAAACAATTCTTTGGTTCTGGCTTTTCCAATGTAAAGTTTTACTGCTGTTCTTTGTCTTATGTGATAAAATCTTTGGGTTTTGTACTCTTTGTTGTGAAAGATGAGCAGTTTGTCACTTTGAGAAACTGTGACTGTCATTTTGAAGCCTAAATGATTCATCAAACTGAGGAATTCATTCAATTCATTACAGATTAATCCAAGCTCTAAATCTATTGTTCTGTCTTTAAAATGTCAGAAAAAGCTTTTAATAATGCCCATCATAATTTCCCAGCACAAGTTGACTTCTTTAGATGGATTCTTTTGTCTGACCAACAGTCCAAAAGCCATAGATATTCAATTTACGTTAGTAATCGGTTACCAAATTTGTTGTAAAGCCCTCAACACTACTTATTAAAAGTCCCTTATCAGTTCTACTTGCTCCTCCAAATATTGGGCCCATGGAAACATACTCTGTACAAAATGCTCCACATGGCACATTTACATCTGCATTAACTGGCCCCTCTTATCTCTCTATATTATTATTGGGTGATGAATATGTGGACAATTTACTCCTAACAATTATGTGACATTTCTATACTTTTGTTCTTGCTAGCTAGTTGGTGACGTTCATTTACTGCATTGCATTCACTCTGACTGACAACAGCTAAATATCGTTTTAGTACTTGTGCCTGAATAACCTTAAACCTCCACACACACATAATATGTTCCCACCCTAACAAGTGTTTGACCTTCCAGTGTAATGTGCCCTGCCCAGTCCTCTCTCCTGCTTTCGGGAGATTTTTAAACTTCCTTTTTGGGACTTTCTGGCTCACCAGATGTTTCCTGAGCCCACCGTGTTCCTAACTCACTCCCCTCCCCAGTGGTGAAAGGCAAGGGAAGGGCAGAGAGAGAGAATCTGTCATTCACTCTCAATAAAGCCAAGCACAGAGAGATACCTGGAGTCTAACTGATGAAGTCTTTTTCTGCGTGTGCCTCTCCGCTACAGAGCTGACCAAGGCATATGGTAACTGGGATTTACTTTGGCTGCAGTGACAGAAGACTCTAACTCATCTTAACGGCATACACAGAAAAACACACAATATTTACACAGATTTTTGAGCTACTCACCTCTTCTTACACTTTTTAAAGAGTAGTGCGAGCTCACACACAGGGGTCCTGCTGTTTTGCCTGGTGGACAGCCAGTAGTTTGCTGAGCCAGCGATGTCGTGGGACTGTGGTCTGAGGTACATGTTCTCCATGTCCCCTGGGCTGCAGCAGGGGAGCATGTGCATCCTGCATGACAAAGAGGACTTGTCCAGACTGGAGATGGTCCAGAGACTGGCCAAGGATGGGTGCCGCTTCCTACAGAACCACAGCAAGGGCCCAGAAAGGACAAGCGAGGTGAGATACACAACAATAATGCCGCCTCTGTCCGAACATTCGTTTTTATAATATAGTATTTACAAGACTTTTTCTATCAACTCTATTCATAAAATAATGGACATAGAACTGCAGTGAAATGCTGCACTCTTTGGTGTATTTCCCAGCAACAGCTATCTTTGGCCTTGACACAGTGACAACATCAGTCAAGCTGCTTATCTTTATGTCATTACGAACCCTACAATTAGCAGACTTTATCCTTGAATATTCAGCTCTAGAACATTTTACTCTGGGCAATACTGTGGTGTTTTATGCTGCAGTTTTGTGAGCGTTGTGCCCAAGCATCGTTTCTCGCACTCCCTGCGGTGTTCCATCCATCAAACTGATGTTAATTTGTTGTCTGTTTTTACTGGCCTCTATACATTCGATAATGTCTCTGCTTTCTCTAAAGATGAATGTTGTCATTTAGATTCTGTTGAGACTACAAAAAGCTCTCTTCAGTTAAATATAGTAAAACAGTTTCTAGACTGCTTCAAAAGAGATGTAAGGATTAGATTGAATATTTCAAAACAGTTCATTTATTTCAGTTATGAATGCAGTGTATCCATTACATTTAGAATTGGCTAGATGTATATACAGTTGCCATACAGTTGTCATTACAGAAAGTTAACATGCATTTAGAATATAGTAAGTCTCTATCAGTGTGGCAGCATCGTCAGGTTTCTGAAGGGTTTTCACTTCAAAGCACTACCATTTACCAATACTGCTGCCAGCTCTGATTATTGGGAACAGAAACATAACTTAACGTACTGTACGTTCAGTTCAACCTGCGCACTTTTTTAAAAATGATTACATCACCTGCCACTTGGCTGCGTAGGAGATGTCTGATTGGCTGACCTCATGTTGGGCTCAGCTTCTCCCTTCCTGCCAGCTGTATCTGTGTGCTGAACTAAAAAACAATGGCAGGAAAAGTTGACGCAAGTGGCTAGACCACCATGCCAAGACATTGTATGGCTTTAGGGTGGATTCCAGTGCATCAGGTTTCTGACCTTTTCTGCAAACTAAAGGCTAGATCTCCTATCAGTGTTGTTATTCAATATAATGACCTTTCATCTGCAGTAAGCCACTAATGAACAAATGTTAGTGCTGCATAATACAACAATAAAAATATTTGTTTTGGTAACATTCAACGTGCCAAGTTTCTCATATTGTGAATTCTAAATAATGCGAGTATACCAATGGCACGTTTGTATGTGTCATTTATGTAATGCCAGCAGTAATGGCCAGATATGCTGACCTTGTATTTAATACTTGACATTATCTAGAAATATTAATATTATGTGGGATTATCCAGCAGTGTTTCAAGATTATAGAATGGTTTAAAGTAATCCAATAATGCTACAATGCACATCCTGTATTACATGTGAGTCATATAAATATCTAAGCCCAGACATCAAAGAGCTTAGAAATCTGTTACATCCCAGCTGGGTGAAATAGGGATGCTTAATATACAGTAGGCTTCATGTCTGTGAAAATGTGTAAGATATTTTGGCGCAGGATCATGAATGTATTCTTAAATTTCGAGCCAAGAATCTCTTCTTCTTTGGTAGTTTAGTTTTGTCATAATTCATTTTGCTTTAAAAACCCATCAGGTTTAAATGTAATAGATTACTGTTTTGACCTTGGAAATCATTTGTTCTTTTGTACTTTTAGTTTGCTGCTGTTTTCAATTATTCAGAAGGTATCAGAGTTGTGCACAATCTGCTGTTGGATTTGCTCTGTACATGTGATTAGAACACATTGATGTTGTTCTCTGCCACAAGAAGCATAATAAACATTATGTAACATATAAATGTTTTTGTTTACAGCATATTATAGGAGCTTAATGAATTAAACAGGAATTTTAAGTTAATTACTGTTGTAGATCAGCATCAAAGGATTCTTTGAAAGCAAGATATATGAATCATTGGACTATTCTTCCTCTTATTCCCATTCTGTATGATGCACACTATTCCTTGAGAGCAATTAAGTGCAAATCTGCACCCTGTCAGGACTGACACCTTCCAGCTCCCTTTAAGTGTTTCATACCATGCATGCCAGACCTGCTGCATTTGAGACATGCAGACAGAATGCGTCCGTCCAGCCAGCGAAATGCATCTGGAACTCTGAAAGAGACAGTAAACCCTTTGACAGGACATGACTTTGTGCAGAGGCCTGATAAGTAATGTTTACCCTTCTGCTGACGGCGTCCATGTTGGGAGGACTTCAGTGGTAGCTGTGCATCGAGGTCACCTCCAGGCTGGGGTAGGAACTGTGTGGTCCCGGCACTCTGTGTCATTACAAGCCTACACTCTTAGATGGCTGATTGTGTTTTTGTATTGGGACACTGGTAACCACACAGCCCAGTGTGCACTATGTAGTGGCCTGCAGCAGTATAGGCAGGATCAATAATTCATTGTGAGGAAAGGTTCGTTTGCTGTTTGACCCGTTAGCGGTACACTGAGACACTCTGTTAATTATAGTTAAGAATTCAACTTGCTTTGATGTCACGCTTAGTGACACAAAAACAGCGTACTGTGATGGAGCTAAAAGTGCACAGTGTACGTCATGTCTTGAGGAAAATAGAACCGTCTAGAATGTCTTTTTCCTAAGAACCAGGATGCTAATCAGCACAACCTTCCCTTTCTGGGTATTTCCTGGTTCTTTGCTTTTCATCCCACACCCTAACCTTACGTCATACTGTACATCCTGCGACTAGGATAATAGAGGCTGTTATACCACAGGACGCACCCTTAAGTATATGAAAGCAATTTCACGCATGCATGTGTATGTGTTTGTATTAAAGTAAAGAAGGAATAAATTCACAAGTTTTAACTTTAACAGATATGTAAACACTGCTTAGAGTCAGGACAGCACTAAAGAAACATTGCCATTAATGGTCGTTTCTGAGAGTCTGAAAACATTGCTGCTGTTTATACATGTGACTGGCGCACTGTGTAATGTCAATGCTGAAAATGTGGCCCACCCAGTGACGGACACAGTTGTGTGTCTTTGTTGTATTAGGTGGTATATGTGTGTGTTTATATGTTGTATTAATGCATTCATCTGTGTATGTGTTCTATATTTACAGTACAGTGTGTCTGTTTATGTATGTATGTCCACAGATCCCAGATAAGTGTTAATGTGCCAGGAAGTCATGCTTAACTGAAGGGCTCTGGATGCTTCTCTGCAAAAGGCAATTAGGACCGAAAACTGCAACCACTTCCAGCCAGTCTGTCTGGCTAATTGCATGCACAGAAGCTTGTGGTGCATTGACTGATGGCTGAGGAGGGGGGTGGGGGGGTTAGCTGATGCAGGATGCGTGCACTATACAGTGAACTCCTCATTAAGACCAATATCTCTGATCCAGACCCTCTATTGTCAAGCAGCTAGCAGGCATCTTTATACTGCAGAGATGCTGCAACAAGCCATTTTGTTTCAAATGTGGCGTTAAAAAAGTTCAATTACTTATTATTGAAAAACATCACTGAATATCCAGGCTTGGCCAGTGATGTACAGCATTATATCCACCAAACTTTTGAGCTAGAAAACTGAATATAGCTACTCTTTACTATAGTTAAATTTAAGCTTCCCATGGCAGTCAAAGTGGATGTATGTGCTTCTCATTGTTGATTATATTTGCTTGATACTGTCTTTTAATATGCTGAAACAAACATCACCAAACATACCTACATGGATTATGGAGACTACTAGATTACTAGATCAGTTTTAATAATAATAATAATTAAATGTATTTTGGTCTGTAAGTAATTACACAAAGAAAACATTTGCTGGTTCCAGCTTCTCCCCATTTTATATCTTTGGATTTTTGAGAGTTGGTCGGATGAAACAATCCGAATTGGTATAACAATTTGTATATGTCAGCTTGGGCTCTGGGGCATTGTTCGCTATTTTGTGACATTTTGTAGACTAAACAATCGATCAATTGAAAAAGAACTGAGTGATTAAAATATAATGGAATTAATTGTTAGTTGCTGCCCTTTATCTGACTGCTCTAAGTCTAAACCTAGAGAGGAAGGCGTTTAGAGCAATTGTTGGCCTGGTGAAGGTTTAAGGAGTCGTTTAGAGGACTTTTACTGAGTCTTTCACTGAGGCTTTGATTGATAACATTGTGGCAATGTGTGACGGCGTGACCGAGAGAGAGGCAAAGTGAAACAGAGAGAGTGGGAGACAGTAGGGAACATGAGAACGAATTTATCATTCACAGCACCTCATGTTGGTCATAAGACGAGGACCGACCATGTGAGTTGAAGTCTAAACTAAGCTCCCAACCACTAAACCATTGTTGGTGTGCAGAGTTTAACCAACAGCTTGAAAATAGATTGTCTCCAGACACCACCCATAATTTAATAGGCTCTACGTAGGAATCAGTAATTAAAATTTGTGTGAGTCTTTTATGTTAATCCCTGAATGGGCTCCACCGATAAGGACTGAATAATGATATATGGAAATTCTCTTTCATTTACAGAGCTGGCTTTGACAGAGTATTATGATGGAAATCAGTGGTGATTTGTGTGAGTGGGAGAAAATTCAGGGGAATCTCCTTGGTGATAACACCCCCCCCCCCTTTCTCCCTTCCTCCT